TTGACTTTCGTCACCACTAGTTCTACCGGTATTTGTGGTGACATTCAAGCCCAACAACTCATCGATGACCCCCGTAGGTGCTGCAGTGTCAGATAAATTTAGCTCCTCTTCACTATCACCAAAGCCTTCTCGAAGGTCAATAGTAGGGCGGTACACATCCTCATCATCATCATCCTCTATTTGGGTCTGGGTAGCAGATGGTACAAAAAGTGTTTTCCCAGTTGCCAGGATATTATTGAATATCAAGGTTAATTCCCGTGCAAATCTCAGACCTTTATATCTAAATTTTCCATAAAGAGAACTTTCCTGCAACCATTCAAATAACCAACAATAAAATTCTCAAATTAAATTCCAATCTTAAAAACACTTAACAACTAATCCATACCAAGATTTTTTGCTCCCACCACTCATCTAGAGCATCAACAGTATTTTTGTCACTGTCCCACCCTAAGCCAGTTTCACTTGAAAACAACTTATGCCATACGTTCCATTCTTTCCTCATGTTATCTAGCTTATTTTTCAATTGCTTTCGCTCATACCTTTTTCTTGTTTTGGCCTCAAACCCCTCAATTATTGCCTGCCACCCATTTTTATTGAAAGTAGTTCCTTTCCTTTGTTTCTTGTACACTTGTTCCAAGCATTCTTTAATGAAAATTTCTGTTAAAGTTGAATTCCACACAGCTTTTCCTTTGTCACTGTTCATTATTGTAGAGACTAGCCAACCATCACAAACATGCAAAATCAATATATATCTCTACATATATGCAAAATCAATATACATCTCCTATTTTCAATTTAGCATTTTTCAAATTCATGGAGTTTATATAATGAAGAACAAAAATTTAAAATAATGCAACTTGCACAAAAAGAATTGAAGCACAAGTAGGAATTAGAGCAAGCTAAAGTGCAACAGGAGGAAGCTGAGGTATGCTTTAACATTTGACCTATGAATCATATGACCTTCAGCATTTATATTGGGTGGTTAATATTATAAAATTGCCACAATAATAATAGTACAATGCATAACATGCATGTCACTCATAGCTTTAATTTTTTAATTTGATTTCACATTTTAATGTGTGTTACATACTACTGCACGCATCCTTGATATCTACAAGACTCTAAGTTAGAAAGTTATAATAAAAAAGATGTTATAGCATGGACTACGTATAAAAGAGAGCTAGTACAAAAGGAAACTAATAAATATGCTAATTGGATCGCCATAGCTACTCATGACAATGATAATAATCGTGCTATATTTACAAATCCTCTCTCCTGAGCTGTAGAAGATTGATTAAGATTAATTGAGAAAAAATACTCTGCTCTGTCGTAACCTTACTCCCAAAAATAAAAAAAAATTAAGACCATCAAATGCATGATTAAATGGAAATTTTAACATGCATAGCCCCCTGGCAATGGTTACCTGCCATCCACTCCATTCACTATTCAGGTTAATAAATATAGGTATAATAAATCAAGTAATCAACAATATAGATAGCAGACACGTTTACTCATTTAGAGGCAATTGTATGCCACTAATGTTCATGCATGCAATTTAAAATCAGTGGACACCCACCACCTATTCTTTCCAGTAACAGGATAAGCCAATCATAACATACCAAAAAGCTCAGAATATTGAATGACTGCTGCTCATTTTCATGTCAATATGAAAATAGCAAACAACATAAATATCCTTCAAGTCAGAGTATGAAAGCCTTGGAAACACTTCAACAATAATTTCAGATAAGACACTACAAGTAAAGCAATCTATGGCTTCACAAACTATTCGAGGAACACATAACAAGTGAGTTCCCGAAATGCAGAAAAGATGATTGGTCTAACAGCATTATAAATAACCGAGTTCTAAAAACGCATCTTATGGGCATCTGTACTCATGTTACACGCATTATATCTTCCTCTGCTCTAAAATAAACAAACAGGGGGTGGACATGAGAGAACAACAAGCACATATCACTTTCTGGAGCAGCAGCGCACGACGAGTGAAGGAAGAAAAGTCTTCAAAGAAGGAATAGCATAGCACAACAGGAAATAAGGCAACGAAGGAGATGAAAAGAATGACCTTACTTGGCAAGGACAAGCGATGGGGAGTAGATCCAGCGATAGGAAGTGCAGATCTGGTGGATACGGTGGAGATCGAGAGGCAACAGCGAGAAAAAGCACTTCGGAGTAGGGGCACGATGGAAAGCTGGAGATTGACAGAAAAATGACTAACAGAAGAGAGATGGAGATTGGAGCAAGGGCACGGTGGTATGCTGGAGATCAACAAAAAAATGACTAACAGAAGAGAGCTGGAGACTGGAGCAAGGGCACGGTGGAAAGCTAGAGATAGATAGAAAAATGACTAACAAAAGAGAGGTGGAGATCGGAGCAGGGACACGGTAGAAAGCTGGAGATCGATGCCGAAGAAGCAAACAATTGGCCCTAGAAGCAGACAACTGGCCAAAGGAAGCAGATTTGGAAGTGTGTTTTGAAGCAGTTTTGAAGCAGATGGAGGTCACGGGTGAAGCAAATGGAGGTCACGGGTAAAGCAGCATGCACAAGAAGCAAGAGAGAGAAGAGAGAGAAAGCAATAAAATTTAAAATGCATTTATTGCTTCCAACGGGCAAACGTGAATGCTGAGAAGGGAAAAACCAGATTAATTGGTTTTTTAGATAACGCACATTTCTAAGCTAATTGAGGTTGAAAAGTTGTGCTAATCCAAACAATTTTTTTTTGTATTTTGCAACCTAACCTCAATTATACCTATTCTAACTGAGGCTAGAGTGTAATCCAAATATGCACTAAGAGTGTGTTTGGATTAACAAAATTTATAACTGAGGTTAAGGTTCAATTGAGGTTAGCAAACTGAGGTTAGAAGAAAAGTCAGTTGATGTAATGTGATTTATATTTGGATACCTTATTTTTAAAAGTCAGTTAGATAAACTGAAATTCATTTATATAATTTGATTCAAAAGCCAGTTGAGAAGTTTAATGAAAAAAATAAGCATGAATTTTTTTCTTAAATATTAAATCTTAAATAAGCATGATTATATTTTTAGACTAACTAATAAGTAAAAATATTAAATTTAAAATCACAACTAATAAGTAAAATATTTTAAATATTTAATTACAAAAACCTAAAATAAATTAATGTTCAATTGATATGATTTACAAGCTGGTCTCTAATTATATCATGAACATGCTGCATCTGTCTTGATGATCCGGGTAGATTTGATGAAGATGCCTCACCAATATCAATATCTTCCTCAAGGACATCTACACTTTCATCTTCAACTTGAATGAATTGCTCATCAGTAATTAAATTTCTCTTAATAAAGTTACGTATTGCCATTGTTGCACAAACAATTTAAACTTGTATTTTATATTTAAATTTGGGCATTTTCATATAATTGCAAACCTATTCTTCCATACTCCAAAAGTTCTTTCTATAGTGCATCTCAAACTTGAATGATAATAATTGAAGACCTCATTATTGTTTGCAAATCCTGCAACTCACCTGAAGTCTGAAAGGTGATAACGTTCGCAACAATATGGACCAAGATACCCATTTAGTGTTGGATAACCAGAATCAACCAAATAATATTTACCTATTACATAAAAAGAAGTGTTGTAAATTTAACAAACATTAAATTAATGCAATAATAATTATAGTGACTTGAATAAAATATACCTAGAGGTGGATGCAGAAAATGCATTGAAGGAGTTAATATGACATTATCAAATACTCGGGCATCATGAGCCGTACCTTCCCATCCCGCAATAACAAAAGTAAAACACATGTCCCAATCACATACAGCCATGACATTCTGTGTTGCATATCCCTTTCTTCCAATAAATTTAATTTGATCAGCAACACTAACCACGCATGGCACATGAGTGCCATCAATTGCTCCTATAGCATCCTTAAAGAATGGCCAATACCGTGGATCATTTGAATTTTTGAATGACATCATTCAAACAAATGATCGAGTGGCTTTACGTTTGCCTTGGAAAGGTTAAGGCAGGCAGCTAATACTTTATGAAAATTTCTTTGGACAGTTTCCCCTAAATGCTGAAATCGTTCTTGTATCATCCTATTACCAACTCCATGTCCAACTGTATTTAAAAACATTCCAACCATTTCTTCAACTTCCATTTTTTTAGACTTTTTTAGACTAAGATCAACTAGTGTCGCACACAGTTGCCTAAACAAATGTTTTTCCATTCGAAAAATTTCATAACAACGATCAAGATGACCTTGCAAAATCTCATTGACCCACATTTGCCCTGTTTGCATGCTAGTTCTCCGTGGCTCTTTACACACATATGGCATCACATATTCACTAACTAATTGACATATTTCTTCTTGCTCCGTTATATCTTGCTGTAACAAGGGAAGTAGTTGATAAGCCACATCTACATCCCAACCTTCTTCCAACCTAACATATACTCATTCGAATCTTCCATGATTTTTAAACTTGAGGTAAAATAGTATGTAAATATCATTTGTATATAATATAAAGTACATAGTATATAAATATCATTCAATAACATAAAAGATAAAGCATAAGATAAGCATTAGATAAGAGTTAAATATTCACTATAAACCAGCCAAAAGTAACTACAAGTAGTCTTTAAGTCAAAATAAACACCAGTCAAGTCATCATAAGCATAGCGAAGTACAAGTCAGCCAAAAGCAACTACAAGTAGTCTTTAAGTCAAAATAAACACCAGTCAAGTCATCATAAGCATAGCGAAGTACAAGTCAGCCGAAAGCAACTACAAGTAGTCTTTAAGTCAAAATAAACACCAGTCAAGTCATCATAAGCATAGCGAAGTACAAGTTAGCCAAAAGCAACTACAAGTAGTCTTTAAGTTAAAATAAACACCAGTCAAGTCATCATAAGCATAGCAAAGTACAAGTCAGCCAAAAGCAACTACAAGTAGTCTTTAAGTGAAAATAAATACCAGTCAAGTCATCATAAGCCTAGATAAAAATTCATCCTGATGCATTCTTTGAAATAAAATTCGGTAGATGGTAGACTTGATGCTTCAACCAATTGACCAAGTGATCAGGATGGTCTTTAAGTTTCCAGTAAGCATCTCGTATAGGCTTGTATAGAACACGATTGACACATCTCCAATGTAAATCTTTATCACCAAAAACTTCTGGAAGTCCATTTAGGTGAGCCACAACCTCAAAAACTCCTATGTCATTTGCCAAAATCTTGTTCACTGTCTCTGTTCTAGCTCTATTATCCTTGGCCATTTCACTCATAGCATCTGCTATTTTCATTGAGGTAGGGACTTTTTGCTTTTTCCTTCCCCCAACACCTACCACCCTCTTTATCTTGCCTTGACTTTCGTCACCACTAGTTCTACCAGTATTTGTAGTGACATTCAAGGCCAACAACTTATCGGTGACCCCCGTAGATGCTACAGTGTCAGATAAATTTAGCTCCTCTTCACTTTTACCAGAGCCTTCTCGAAGGTCAATAGTAGGGCGGTACACATCCTCATCATCATCATACTCTATTTGGGTCTGGGTAACAGATGGTACAAAAAGTGTCTCCCCAGTTGCCAGGACATCCTTGAATATCAAGGTTAATTCCCTTGCAAATCTCAGACCTTTATATTTAAATTTTCATAAAGAGGATTTTCCTGCAACCATTCAAATAACCAACAATTAAAATTCTCAAATTAAATTCTAATTTTAAAAATACTTAACAACTAATCCATACCAAGATTTTCACTCCTACCACTCATCTGGAGCATCAATAGTATTCTTGTCACTGTCCCATCCTAAGCCGGTTTCACTTGAAAACAACTTATGCCATACATTCCATTCTTTCCTCATGTTATCTAGCTTATTTTTTAATTGCTTTCGCTCATACTTTTTTCCTATTTTTACCTCAAATCCCTCAATTATTGCCTACCACCCATTTTTGTTGAAAGCAGTTCCTTTCCTTTATTTCTTATACACTTGTTCCAAGCATTCTTTAATGAAAATTTCTGTTAAAGTTGAATTTCACATAGCTTTTCCTTTGTCGCTGTTCATTATTGTATAGACTAGCCAGCCATCACAAACATGCAAAATCAATATATATCTCTACATATATGTATCAATTTAACATATTTTTTTCTCCAGAATCTTTTATACAAAAACAGGAAGAATCACCAAGCATTAGGTGTGTGTATTACATGTTTGTATATTTCAGGGGACAGATGTTTCTGTAACACAAAGGTTCACCAACATAATTTATTTCAAATTCCGTGCAAGTATATAAAATTATTTTAGTTTATTGATCAGCCCTTGTTTCTGTCCAAAAAATTTTTGATCAATCCTTAAACCTATAAAAGATGACAAATATAATTTTATTTATGAGGGTAAGCTAATAAAACCTTTTTTTTCTTTTGTTTTGTTCACATTCCATTCCATTCCAAATCCCTGGCCGAAAAAACATAAAACAGGAAAAAAAATAGAACAAGAAAAAACAGCCCTTGTTTACTTTTGTTCTGTCAAACCTAAGGATCATCAAAAACATAATACAAGAAAAAAAATAAGCTGGCTAAAAAAAAGAAACAGAAACCATAAGTTTCTCCTTTTGCCAAGGATGATCAGAAACTTCCACCAAGGTGTGATTTAAAAAAAAAAATGAAGAAGAAACTTCCATGCATGATGCAAGAGACTAGAAAATGCAACAGACCAGAGAATGCAATACCGAAAAATGCAGCAGACCACAGATCAGTGAAAGACCAGAAAATGCCACACAGAGAATGCAACAGACCAGACCAGAGAATGTAGGCAGCGAAAAAGGCAAAAGAGACGAAGATGGACCAGAGATGTGAAAAGAGACTGCAACAGGGATCCAAGATCTACAGCAGAACCATAAACGAAAAAGGCAACAAGGAAGGCAATGAAAGAAGACAAAAGAAAAGCTTACTTGGCAAGGACAAGCAACGGAGAGTAGATCCGATGACTAGGAGCAGATCTATTGGTTGGCGCCGAAGAATGATGGGCAACAGGGAGAGAGACCACTTCCGGGCAGGGACACGATGGACGCAAGAGGAGATGACAGCAAGCTGGAGATCGGCTGGAGGTCACTTGCTTCAACACAATGGAGATGAGCTTGGACGCCAGACGAGCAATGAAGGTGGAGCTCCGATCTAGTTCGAAGTATCAGTTTGCGAGGTCACGGGAGAAGAGAGCACAATGGAATGAAAAGCTGGAACTTGGCTCGTGGGTTGGATAAATGAGAGGAGAGAGAAAACATGCACAAATTGAAAAGCTAATCAATGCTTCCAACGGCCATATCAACGCGACGCTAGGAAAAAGCCACAACTATCAGCTTCTGAATAAACGCTTGTTTTGCTCTAACTATGGTTGAGATATTTTGTTAATCCAAACATTATTTTTTCACTTTTTTGCTCCTAACTGAGGTTTGACTCACTCTAACTGAAGTTATGTTATAATCCAAACATGCACTAAATTGATCCGACCATTCATTTGCTAATAAGGGACCACAATAAATTGAAGCCCAACCCAATCCAACCATTTTTCATATTCTCTCTCCCATGTCTGATTAAATGCTTCTTTCTAAGTGAAAAAAAGAAAAAGAAAAAAGGAGCCTCATTGAAAATTTACGCAAGTTCTTGGAGCAAGAAGGATCCCTGCAACTGTGCAAGGCAAGAACTGGAATAGAATGATCGGGTCGAGAATGGAGGACGATGAAGAAGAAGGGCCACCTATAGCTATTCAGATCCAACAAGAGGAATCAACGTCTCATTATTCCGACTCCGACTCGAAAGCTTCAGTTGGGGTTACTGTCATCACCGGCTATCTTGGAGCTGGCAAGTCCACTGTAAGCTTTCCCCGTCGAATTTCTGTGCCTCTCTCTGCGACCCCAATCTCTTCCTTTGCATTACTTAGTAAGATTTTTCCATGCTCTGAGCTTTGGGGATTCGGTTCATATCTATATATATATATATTGGAAATTGCATTTTTTTCTGTCTGATTATACAATTAGTATATAAAACTTAGAGCCCCAGGAAATGAAATGGAAGTGTTAAAATGACTAAATCCCACTAATTTTTTGAACTTGATAGCAACTTTGTTGTTAGGGTTTAAGTTAAGGGTAGTAAAATGCGGTTTTCCCTTTATTCTCTTCTCTGTTCTTGTTGTTTGTCAACATTTTAAATTACCATGTCCATGGTATCCAAAGTTTGAACATAGGGTTGGACCAATTGTTTCAGCTGGTTAATTATATTTTGAATTCTCAACACGGGAAGAGGATCGCGGTCATCTTGAATGAGTTTGGTGAGGAAATTGGAGTGGAAAGGGCAATGATAAATGAAGGGGATGGTGGTGCACTTGTTGAAGAATGGGTTGAGCTTGATAATGGGTGTATATGTTGCACGGTCAAGCATAGTTTGGTTCAAGCATTAGAGCAACTTGTACAGAGAAAGGAAAGGTAAAGCAAGGAAGAAAGGTTTCAAATTTATGATTTAATCGAATGAAATGACACATTAGAGAGCAGTAACATCTTCATATTGTATAACTTGGTAATTGCTAATTTGCATTTTTTACCATTATTACCGAATATTGGAAATTGAGCTATGCATTTTTATTTTTTCTTTTTGTGATCTAGACTCGATCATATATTGCTAGAGACCACAGGATTGGCAAACCCAGCACCTTTGGCATCTGTCCTATGGTTGGATGAACAGTTAGAATCAGCAGTAAAGCTTGATTCTATCATCACTGTAAGTATATTTTGGATGAATTTGAGTAAAAGTATTTTCACATCTTTTATGTCAACTTTTTTGGAATTTCTTTCACTTGAGTGCTGCTAGTAAGTAACTAAGTATTTCAAGACTATTCATTCCTTGGATGGTTAGAACATGTGTGGCAAATAAGGCTTTACTCTTCTTTCCTTTGCTGGAAAAGATGCTTTTTAATTCTTAGAGTGTATGTGTGTGTTTTTGTTTCTAAACTTAATTTCTGATCAAACAGGTGGTGGATGCCAAAAACCTTCGCTTCCAGCTTGCTGAGCATCGTGGCTCATCATCATCATTTCCAGAAGCATATTTTCAGATAGCATTTGCGGTACGTGTTTAGTGCATGGCTAAATTTTGGCTGCTGCTGTTCAGTGCTTGACAAGCATATGCTGGATCTTGCTGATTCTTTCTTATCAAACTTTTCTCCCATTTCTCATGGCTTTATTTTTTAATGTATCCACTTCAGCGGTGTTGAGCTAATAACCTTGCTCTTTGTTGTAGGATATTATAATTCTTAACAAGGTTGATTTGGTCTCTCCAGAAGGTTCTGGAAGCATTTTGGAGGAGCTGGAGGAGGAAATTCATAACATTAACTCCCTTGCTGAGACAATTCATTCTGTCCGCTGTCAAGTTGACTTATCAAAGATATTGAACCGCCAAGCTTATGATTCTGCAGTTAATGACACATAATTTTGTTCTTCATCTATATTTCATATTTTTGCTTCAATTTTTCCCACCTACATACTAGTAAAATTACTTTTACTGCTCTTGTTTCAGCATGCCTCGCATTTAGAGAAATTATTAGAAGAAAGCCGTTCATTGTCTTCCAAAATGCTTCATGATAGCAGTGTGAGAACTATATGCATTTGTCAGTCACATAAGGTTGATCTTGAAAAGGTACTTTTAATTTCTACTTGTAACGCATCATGTTTTTGTCAGTCACTTGATATGTAATTAATCCTTGAAGTTTCTCCTCATGTGGTTACTGGCATCATTGTATATTTTATGATGAGCAGCACTTTATAATTTTAATAGGAAAACTAATAAATAGTGCCCTCTCTATTTCTTTCCCATTCTTTCCCACTTGTATACACTGTGCAACCGGGATACTACATTTCGTTTCACTTGAAACTCCAATTCATTTTTTCTTTCCTTCAAAACATAACAGGCAAAAGATTTGTGTTGTTTCTGTTTACTGAATACACTTTCCACACTATCAACTTAATTCTGTGTATATTTATCCACGCTTACAGGTTCGAACATGGCTTGAGGAGATTCTCTGGGAGAAGAAATATGATATGGATGTATATCGCTGCAAAGGTGTTCTCAGTGTTCAAAATTCTGATCAACTGCATACGTTGCAGGTAACTAAAAAAATTATCATACTTAATGGTCTTGAGACTTACCCAGAAGTTATATTGTACTAAAAGGTGTTAGACATGGAAGCTGAGGTCATTTTGTTCCGGCATCTAAGTTGGCTTTTGGTTATTCTCTCATTGTTGGCTTGTTTGTGCGGAAATTTATGATTACTGTAAGAAATGACTTAAATGCATTTCTTAAATGTTTCCTATCTAGTTTTCATTAAAATTATGATGCATGGGAAAATCTCCTTCAAATAGTCAATAATGCATTATTGAATTGTTTAAAAGAATGCCCACATTTCTGTAAGGAAATTGAGAGATTCATTTAAGGAACTTGTTGGAATTATTACCGTTGCATTGGCTTTTGTTATAGCTGTTTAGAGGGATATTCGGTTTATAGGACATTACGATTATGCTTGGTCTTGATAAATAAACCTGTGTTAATGATTGCAACCTTCATTCACTCCTAAATGTAAATTTCTCAACAGGTTATACCATTTGTTATTTCAATATCAAGGCAGGCTGATCGTTAACAAAAAATATCTTGCTGAGAATTGATCATTAACAACTGAACTTCCATAACAGATTTCTTTCAAATTTTATATTATATACATGTGTGTGTGTGTGTGTACTTATGCATGCCTATTGTATAAGGATTTTCTTTCTCAAAGAGAATACAAGGTCTATCATTTGTGTTCTGCATTGTCTTACACAACTT